TACAAAGATAACACAAAGGGATTAATTACTCTTCTATAGGCAACAAGAAGAGATGAAAATGTGTTTTTCTAAGACTAAAAGTGAAATTGTCAGTGTAATCCCTTATGATTGTACTTCTAATGATCAATGACTAACCTGACATCTCTGCGAGGAATTGCCACTCCAAAAATGAAGATCATCACAAGTTCTCAGCAAAACCGCAGAGGATTTTATGTCCTAACAGGTAACAAAACTCAAGATTGTACTTTTTTAGTCTGAATCTGAACTAGACTGATCCACTCGTCTCTCGGTAATAGCTGGAAACAGTTTCTGTCTAGGATCTAATGAAGGCGGCTGTCTTGGAGTTTCCGAAGAAGCTGAAGCTGTTGAACCCTGTTTTCTAGCCATCTTTACGGGTCTTCCTCGTGCCTCTCTGACTTCTTTGCAGGACTTATCTAAGATTATCAAGAAATCGCGTACAATCACAAACAAACGCAGACCTTCGTCTTTTCCGGCTTTCCCATGGAAATAATCCCCTGTACTTTTCACCAGAGCCATTATTCTCTTCTCTTCTCCAAGAATCGACATGATGCTTCCTTCAGCATTTTGAATGAAATCCTCAAGGGCTTCACGAAACCCACTTTCCTCCCCTGAACTCTTCATCTCTGAGTTGACAAAGTCTCGAGCTTTCGACAAAGCATGGCCCATTTTAAGAACAGTCCCTGTTAAACTATCAGCATCGATGTTAGCAGATTTCTTCACATGTTCAAGCTCACTGCTCAAGCCTGAAACTTTTTGAAGCCCAAGATTGCGGTAATTCTCTTCCATCTCTTCAGAGGTTTCCTCTGCCATTAGATCCTCTGTTTTGACGCTAGAGAAGCTTTGGCTCTCTCTGACAGTCCGTGCAGCTCTCATACCCTCAGTCCTAATTATCTCTTGAACAACAAAGTGGAGGAGCGTTGTTTTCCCATCCGTTCCCTTCACGTCCGCTAGTTTCAAAAGAGTGTCCAGCTTAAAAGCTTGAGCACCACCCCTAAATGTACCATCATTCATTCGGTTTCCGGTCTTAAGAACCGCTTCTAGGAGCTTCAGGAACAGCCGACTTCCCCTAAGTTCTTGACAAGCAACCTTCCGTATACACCAAAAGAGATGCATTACGATCAGAGAAAAAGCAAGTAGAAGCTTAATATCAACAAGTGGAAAAGCGAGAAAGATTCTTGAGAAAGACTAAAGAAGCTTTTATCAGTTTTTTTAGAACAGAGCTTTTGTAAAAGATTAGCAAACGTACCTCCAAAGTCTGAAACGATTCTTTAACGAAGGTCATCTCTTCATGGTGTGTACACATAAATAGAAGTGCCTCTAGACGCTTGAAAGCGAAGGGAATATCAACTACAGCTTTTAGGAATCGTTCGGCCGATCCCAGCTGAGCTATTTCACCACAGTATAATCTAAGCTTTAGCTCTTCTTCCGGTGTTGGTGCCATCTTTAACAGGGTCTGAATGAATTCTACAGGAAGCTCATTTCCTGATTCAACGATTATTATGTTAGGGAACACAATGGAGAAAGTCGCTTGGACTTGAATTCTATCTATTCTACATTGGGAAAAAAAAGGTTTACCTTCACGAAGTGCATCACACACTTCTTCAGTTGTCGCATTCAAAGCACGCAAGAGAATCGACAGATTTTGTCCTTTCTTTGGTTCAAGAATCTGTACAAACTGAGGTAAAGCAGCTTGTCCATTGGATCCCTTCTTATCATTTTTGTTCTTATCTGCAGCTGCATATCCAAATAACGACTCTATCATCTCTTCATTGAACCTGGAAAGGAAACAAAAATAAGTTCTATTCAGTAATTGCGCCAAATTTGAATACTTTAAGAGGAATTAAAAGCTATCAACTCCAACGCTATGACTTACTGGAAAGATCCTGATCTTATATCATTCCAAACCATAGAATGTTCTGGGTTTGCTTGTACTTTATCCCAGAAAAATGGCTTCAGCTTTGTTTTGGGAGCATCATCATCTGATGACTGTGCTGGCCCAGAAGACGATCGAGGAGCTTTTGGGCCCAAACTCATTGGTGGAGGTGGGCGTGGTCCTTTTGGTCCAGGAGGAGGTGGTGGCTTAGGCCCACCAGAGCC